GAGGCATTTTACTTCCATGTTTGATTTAATATATTACTATATTTAATTTCATACGTTTTTATTATTAAACAGAGTACAGAAAGCAAAAATTAGATATTTTGATATCCTCTGCATTAACAAACGCTGATTTACTGTGTCGATTATTCTCGATTATTATTTTTTATTATTTTAATGGCTTATATATTTCGGTTAGTTGGGTTTATACCGGGGTAAATCAAAACTTTGTTTTTTGCATGGATAAAAAACACTTTCCATCTTAGGTGTATTCTTTACATTTAATTTTTTGAATTATTCTATTATTTCTATTCTTTTATGAGCTACACATATAAAACAACTAGACGCCGTTTTTTTTCGATCATACGGTATTTTTACAATCTTGAATTTATTGAAAATCGAGCTCTAAATACCCACCGTTATATTGAGAATGTCGTCCAACAAGTTGCCGTTCCATTTGTTCCTTTTAACTTTCTTTCTTTTTGCTTAGCTCTTGTAAAGTGCTTTAGATCAAGGGCTATAGATCAAGAAAGAATAACTATCCTTATTCATTCGATACGCCGAAGACCTCGAATTGTTATTGGTGCGAGATGTCCACCTCTGGCAGCAATAGTACACGCTATTAAAATTATTATAAAATTATTGTTTTGTCAATAAGAATAAGAATCTCTGGAATCAATACTTTACTTAAAAATGTCTAGCTCATAAAAGAATAGAGATAATGGGATAATTCAAGAAATGAAATGTTAGAAATATATCTAAGATTGCAGGAAAGTGTTTTTCTCCAAAATACCTGTCTCATTTTTTCCACAGGGTGTTTTGAATTTACTGCAAAAAACAACGTTTTGATTTACCCCGGTATAAACCCACCTAACCGAAGAATATAAGCCATTAAAATAATAAAAAAAATTGGAGCCGGGAGGCACGCATAGCCGTCCATACTAAAATATGTTAATAAAAAGTTGGTAGGCAGTTCTTTTAGTTTCAATTATCTGAAAAACTGTGACTTTGACTGATTTTGATGTCATTACAAATTTTGTTGCAAATATTATTCCTAATCTTAAATTGAAAACCGCGTTTCGCTAGCTACTGTAATTTTGGAGTTACGATTTTTTAAAATTTTTAACCCCCTTCCATAGCCTCTTAAAAACCCCCCACCCCCACCAAAAACTAATAGCCAGATTCTCGGGTGCAACAGTATTTTTGTGCCAAATTTGGTTAAAATCGGTTTAGCGGTTTTTGAGTTATTTATTTATTATATTATTTATATTACAGACAGACAGACAGACGGACAGACGGACAAACAGACAGACAGACAGACCGATCATACCTGTTGGTATGGTCGGCTAATAAAGCCAATAAATTTATCTTCACACTGATACCATGATCTTAAACATCGGATTACGAAATAAAAAGTTATGAAACATCAAACTTTTTGTCAAATTTTTAGAGTGGCAGAATTTTGTCGGGGAGTATTTTATTTGCGTTTTTATAAATGTGTCCGGACTTTACTACAACATCCATACATCGATCATTGTTTCCCGAACCATCCTCTCCATCTCCACAAGTCGTTATTTTCCATATTTATTTTCCCCGTCCTATCTGACTGGCCACCACTCGTCGATACTCTCCATCGATGTGCCCTCCATTATCCGAATGGATCGGTGTGCATACGTGTTCGAATCGTCGCACAACAACATTCGTTATATATTAAAACAGGACAATGCCATTAGGCAAATGGCGCGTTTTAAGAATATTCGCCAACAGTCGGTATGAAAAATATTTTCCTGTTTTTGTTTCCGAATCTATTTCCAGTCGACGCGACATTTAATTTCGTTCTCGCTGGCGCTATGGCCTGATTCGAGGGGAAGCAAAATATACGATGTAAATATCGAAAGAGCATATTTTGTTATTCGGAGCTCGACAAAACTATAACGCTTTATAGAGGCGGAGTTGACTTTCCAGAATACGTATTTAAATTCTGTTTTGAACATATTTAATTATTATCGTCCTATTTTTCTAGGGTATTGATTGAAAAAAATAATAATAACTGTAATTAATTTTTGTCAAAAGTCTTATTTTAACCTTCAGGAAAAAATGTTTACATTTTTTAAACCACAGACCAAGCCAATCCATATATACCCAACCAAACTTACATAGAAAACATTTATTATTTTTCATAATTTTTGAGACGTATGAACATTTTGTATTTATGAATAACTAACTCCGCTTGTACTAAAGACTTTTAAAAAAAATAATCCGTATAGCTATAAAAAAAATAGTCAGTTCCCAAAATAAACATAATTGTATTTTTTGGTTTCTAAAACGAAATGAGATTTAAATTTTTAATGGTCAAACAGCAAAAACAAAAAGAAAATTGAGAATAATAATCCGTGTTGTCACCTCTAGCCCTTATACACGCTTTAACCCTTAAGCTATCCTACTTGGTATGCTTCTTATTAAATTTTCAACGTTGTTTTGGGGTATGTTTTCCCATTCTGCTAATGCTACATCAATAAGCTTTGCGAGATTTCCTGGATTGTTTCGACGAGCTCTAACCCTTCTTTTGAGCTGGTCCCACAAGTGTTCGATAAAGTTTAGATCTGGTGAACAAACAGGCCAGTCCAAAACTATGACACCTTCCGTTTCAAGACATTCTCTATCCACTCTGCTGGTATGGGAAGGTGCATAATCGTGCATGAAGTTAAAATGTTGCCCAGTTGCAGCTCTCCAAAGCCTAAGATTGGTTCTAGCACTAAATCAACATATCTCCAACCCGTTAAAGTTCGTTGAAGTAGGAACAATGGAGTTTTTGCTCCCAGCATAATACCTCCCCAGAACATTACAGTTCCTCCTTTATATCTTATACAGATTTGGCAGGCCAATTCTGGTCTCATCCGAAAAAAGAATGTCGTCACCAATTAGCTAGTCAATTTTATTTTGCCAAGATAACTGTGGAATCCGTAATTCTTTCCTCCTGTACAACCCTCCAGCACAAAGCCTTTTTCTTATGGCTTCAACTGAAACGTTCACACCTGTAGCTGCCAGAACTTGTCTTCGTAGCCCTGGATGAGAGACATTGGAATTTATTCTAGCAATTTGGCACACAAAACGGTCTAAAGCGGCGGCTACACGACAGCGACTTGCCTGCACGGTGTAGTTTGCGCAGTTAAGACGAAATGCCGTTGGATAGCTACACGTTGCAAGCATGTTTTCGGTTTGCGCAAACCACAGTGTGGTTATAGCATGGTAATCGTCGATAAATTTTGTTTGAGAATTCGCAGCAATGCCAAACGACGATTTTTTTATTTTAAGTGCATTCTGTTTGCTACTGAAGAAATATAAAAGAAAACAATATAGATCGAAGTGGAGTAAAAAATGGTTTTTGAAAAGGATTTATTCGCATGTCAACCTAATTAACGAGTTACGAGCAAAAATATATAAATTCTGTTATAAATGTCTTTGGATAACTCCGTACATCGCCCATTATCACTTTTCTTTTATTTTATTTTCACTACTATCACAAAATACTGGACAAAATACTACTATATTTTAGGTTATTTCGACATGTTTACAGAACCGAAGGCTCTGTCATCCCCGTCCACACGCACAAATTATACCGCACAAACCAGTTTGCGCAAACCAAAACTTACAGCAAGACGACGAAAGCACAGGCCGCGCTTTTCGGTTTGCACGAGATACAGTTTTCCCGTCCACACACACGGGCTTCCCGATACAAACCAGTTTGCGCAAGTAAGTCTTCGGTAAAGCCTGTGCGTGTAGCCGGTCCTTTATTGTTTGGTTGTGATTCTTTGACGACTTTGTCTGAGCTTGTTCTTGAGAATTCCTAATTCCAAGTACTTTGCATATGTTTTCAATACAATACCCTGGGTAACGCCTACTATCTCTGCTATCTTAGGGGCATTCCTTGTTCAATGAGAGCAATAATTCTGTCCCTATGTACATCTGTTAATCCAACATAAGGTATTTTTTTATTTTTTTGGATCGAATGAAAATTATTGGACAATCGTGATTTTACTACTGAACACAAAATTCACAAAGAAAATAAATCGCAGCAGTCGTTTATTCTTTATTATCATGTTTATTTACAAAAAGCCTTATCTTAAAGTTGTATACCAATTTATTTCTTTGCAAAAAGTTTAGTTAGAAATAAAGAGTGATTCCATATCAGTTTGGTTGTGTGTATATTGATTTATTTTGATGTTCAGTGAGGACAATCAATACAAAATATATCAAATCAGAGAATGAAATCACCCAAGTATAATAATGGATTGAGATAAAAAAAATCATCTAAGCGATATCAAATAAGAATCAAGTTTAGTAGAATAACCTTCTGTAAAATATATTTTTGGTAATTAACATGATAATTTAAACATTGACATGCCTAATATACAATGTTCAGCTAATTTCCATTTCTATTGCTGTGAAATTGTCGGCCATATGCAACTCCTGTTTCCTGAATAAATATGTGTAGATGCAGGCTAATTTCCATATACACAGCAGTATTCTATCGCATAGAAAACACTAGAAAATATAATTTTATTTATTGAAGTCAAATAAAAGAGTCATTTGTATTGAAAATATTCAAGGAGTATAAAGAATTTAGAAGTGTTCCAATAGAGACGCAAATAAAGTTTGAGCATTGCGTATATTCTGGCGTTTTTTAAAACACACATCATAATCAGTCTTTCTTTTTTTTCTAGAAATAATTATGATAGCACAGTTTCTGTTAAACTTTTCACACAAAAATATTTCCAAGCTTATTATTTCAGTTATTAAAACACCCAGACGCCAATTTTCATCCAAATATCCAATTTAGAAATTATTTTAAAAACAATTCGAAATAAAAATGAAATTTCTACACCATGTATATCTGAAACGAAGCATTTTAGGACATAAATTTATATGAACTTGTTTACTTATTTTTATCTCCAGAATATGCTGCCAACGTTTCCTGAGTTATTAAGTTCTAACATTACTCTTACCTTAAACACTTCCCAAACGGAGGAAAACGGCAACACCGCCATCCCCACCATCAAATCGGCCACCGCCAACGAAGCAATGAATATATTGGTCACGGCCAGCTGCAACTTGGACGAGCACAGCACGGCTGCAATCACCAAACAGTTGCCGACGATCACCATCACGTCGATCAGCAGCAGCACGGTGAGCCGAATCAGCGCGTTCGGTTCGAGCCAGTCCACGTTCTCCCAGACCGCTGCGCAGGCGGACTCGTTGAGTGTACTGCGCATCACATTGACGTGATCAATGTTTGTCGATCGGGGTGAGAATTAATGTTTGTTTCGGTCAGAGTAACGGTTCAGTTCGAACTTGAGTAGAGTGCTGCGCTCTGGGAAGGTATGTTGAGTGTTCGAAGGTGACGTCATTTTGTGGATCGGTGTGAGTCTGTAACAAAATATAATATAATTAACAGTGAAGTACAGTAAGTTTTTTTGTTGGAGCGCGAAATTGATTTTTTTACTCCCAACTTTTTCTTTTTTACTTTAATTAGAATTTTCAGTGCATCGCATTTTCATTGGAGGACACTTGTCATATTTATTTCAAACAAATAATCAACGAGAATGTTCGTATAATTTAATAAAAATAACCAGTAGCTTATGACGCCACGCCATGTAAAAACTAGGTATATGTCATATTGCCATTAGCTATCACTAAAATATGAGACATATTTTTATAAATACGCTTTATAAAGTTTTACCAGGCAGTATTTATAATATACGAAATTTAAATAATTAATTTTTTGACAGAAGGAAAAAAATTGTCTGATGGTTTGACACTTAATGTCAAACGAAGCTAGATAAAATCAAGAAAAAAATACGCTTTGAAACTAAATCTTAAATAAGTTAAAAATGGTTTATCTTAGGTATAGTGCTGGCTGAGGCGCGCTGCTGACTCTGAGAGATCGATACTGATAACTGAAGGATCGATACGGCCACCGAGTGGGGGTTTAAGATTATTATTTGTAGACATTGTATTGTCAACTCTGACACATAGCGCATCTCTCGCGTAACTCTGACGCGTAACACGTGCTCGACGACATCAGAAGTGGTTGAGAACATTTAGTGTTGGTGTTTTGTGAAGTTTTATCTGTTCCAAGTTCAGATACTCAGTTATAGATCCCAATCGCAAAAAAAAATCATGTTGTGAGTGGTATCTTTAGAAGAAAGCTCTACATCGAAGTCTCAATAGTACAAAACACCGGATAACACAGTACACGTCCACAGTACTGTTGTCCACAGTACTTTTGAAATAGAAAAACGACATTACCATAGAAAAACGACACTTGAGGACCGATACTGAAGGCTCCAGTAGACCATATGGATGGTTGGTCTGTTTTGGGTGAAAGTTTCTTGAAAAGGAATTGTCTGTTTAGAGGATATAATGATCCAAAAGTTAAGGTAAATTATTAATTAATTAATTAATAATTAAATTAATTAATTAAGGTAAATTAAATTAATTAAAAATAAAAATAATTAATTAATAGAAACGAGACCCTCAAATAACCCATTGGTTTGCTATATCACAATTTTGATCGCCGTCTCAGGCATAACAGTGATCGCCATCTCAGGCACAATTTTGATCGCCGTCTCAGGCAAAACAGTAATCGCCAACTCAGGCACAATTTAGATCGCCGTCTCAGGCAAAACACTGATCGCCGTCTCAGGCAAAGCAGTGATCGCCATCTTAGGCACAATTTTGATCGCCGTCTCAGGCAAAACAATGATCGCCATCTTAGGCACAATTTTGATCGCCGTCTGAGGCAAAACATTGATCGCCCTCTCCAGGTATGCTGACCGCCCTCTTCCAAGCATATTGATCACCATCTTAGGTAAATAGATAGATATATAGATAGATGATTTTGTCTGTTTTGGGTGAATTTTTCTTGAAAAGGAATTGTCTGTTTAGAGGATATAATGATCCAAAAGTTAAGGTAAATTAATTAAAAATAAAAATAATTAATTAATAGAAACGAGACTCTCAAATAACCCATTGGTTTGCTATATCACAATTTTGATTGCCGTCTCAGACATAACAGTGATCGCCATCTCAGGCACAATTTTGAATCTCAGGCAAAATTTTGATCGTCGTCTCAGGCAAAACAGTGATCGCCATCTCAGGCACAATTTAGATCGCCATCTCAGGCACAATTTAGATCGCCGTCTCAGGCAAAACAGTGATCGCCATCTCAGGCACAATTTAGATCGCCGTCTCAGGCAAAACAGTGATCGCCGTCTCAGGTAAAGCAGTGATCGCCATCTTAGGCACAATTTTGATCGCCGTCTCAGGCAAAACAGTGATCGCCATCTTAGGCACAATTTTGATCGCCGTCTCAGGCAAAACACTGATCGCCATCTTAAGCACAATTTTAATCGCCGTCTCAGGCAAAACATTGATCGCCCTCTCCAAGCATGCTGACCGCCCTCTTCCAGGCATATTAATCACCATCTTAGGTAAATAGATAGATATATAGATAGATGATTTTGCCCTCTTAGGCATTCTGCCCGCTCTCCTAGGCATATCGATCACCATCTTAGGTAGAAAATGTGCCTTGCTTGACCATGTTCATTGTCGGTTAGCCTCAAGACGCTTCCAACCTCTGGATCCTGTCGGCGTAGTTCTCCGACTCGCCCAAACTTCTCATTGAACGTCGCAGCGATTCTTCTGGACATCCGCAAATCTCGGGCCACACAGTGGGCGAGCGAATAATCAGGAGGCACGGAAAAGAGGTCTCGTTGTTCTTCTTTGGTTACACCATAGCGAGCCTTCTGACTGCTGTAATATAGATTTTCAAAACTCATATTTCTTATTAAAAATAATTCAATAATTACTATTTCACTTTTAACCGCAATAGTTTCAAGCTTTAAGCAAAAACACTCAAATCATTGTAGGTATGTTTACAGAATAAAATTTTGTTTTTAATTAAATATACCAATAGTTAAATATGCTTAAGTACTTGCTAAACAAAGATAATTACAATATTATCAATATTTCTATATTTTGTTTTAGAGACATCCCAGTTATCAAAGACAAACATGATCAAAGATAGTGTTAGGATTTTATAGGTTTTCAAAATTTCTCTGCAACTTTATGTGGATTCAGATTAAAACTAATGCGTAGATATATTTTTTGAATGTTAATATTCTTTGAGCATTAGAAGAATATCCCCACCAAATGGATCTGTACTAAGGTATACTGATCTGAAGCATATTGATTGCCTTCTCAGGCATTCTCGTCATAATTTTGTTTGATCGTCATCTTGAGCATAATTTTAAATGTTAAACTCACGCATACTTTGTCAATAATTGTTGGTCTCTCGGTTGGCCTAAATTATTATTATTCTTTTTGCTTTGTTTTGTCGTTACAGAAAACTAGCTTTCGAGGACGAAAGTTCTACAGGATGGCCGTGCTGGCTGAGGCGCGCCGCTGACTCAGGAGAAGGATCGAGTGGGGGTTTAAGATTATTATTTGTAGACATTGTATTGTCAACTCTGACGCGTAGCGCATCTCTCGCGTAACTCTGACGCGTAACACGTGCCCCACGATAATAGGAACATTTATAATCAAAAAGTAACGAACTGAAAAACATTTTCACTAGTGAAATAAAAAAGTGGGTTTCCATTTGAAAAAAAATATTTTTAATAATTTTTTAATCGCTCAATCTTTATGCCACAGTTGCTGTGGTAATCACTATTTCTGTCGTTTAGGTTATACAGATTTTTTTGACAGGCAGTTTTTTCCTCCAAAAATATTTAATATTTTTTTTCTCAGAAACGGTTAATGTTAGGTATAGAGTGTTTAACATCAATATTCATAGAAGTTTACAGAGAATTTAAATATATAATAAAAAATGGGACACCCATTTGAAATAAGAAAGTTCCTGTCATCTTCCGGTATTTCCGGAAGTGCCGTTATATTGAAAATATTTTTAATCGATATATCTCGTTGTGAAACAGTAATGTTCAAAAAATCTCCAATCTAGATATTGTAGTTTTCGGTAGATATTGTAGTATAAGGTAGAAAATTCTATTGCGCGCAGCCTGGGACACCCTGTATAACCCTTAATATTGAGAATAAAAAATATGTTTTTTTTTATAAATAAAAAATATGTTTTTTTAACCAAGCTATATTTATAAAACCTTTTAAAAACTGAACAAAGCGGAAGCGCCCACCGGCCCCTTGTAAAAAGGCGACAAACGGTATAATTTCCCGCGGCATAAATCAGCCGCCACCTAATTCGCAGGCCGGTACGAGTGAGCGCAAGCGATACAACAAGTTAATCCGCGGAAAGAAACAGGTAGCGCCGCCAGTGTTTACCCGCTTAATTCGAAAAATTTATCATAAAATTTCGCAGGCTAGAGCGCGAATATCCGCCGTTAGAGCCTCTACGGCCTTTATTATTTATGCTAATTTATTGGCGCTCGTTCATGAGGCTTTTAGATGGTGTTTGCGTTGAGGCGAGAGGGAATAGGGAAGGTTCTTAAGCCTTAAGGTGCATATTGCGGCCGTTGTCTTGGGTAACAACGGTATTTTAAGTGGCAAAATTATTAAATTTACAAGTGTTCTTTTATTGACTAATATGAGAAAAAAATCTTTAAAGAACTTCATGCAAGGAACAAATTCTAAAAAAAGAAGCAACATGTAATTGTGAGGAACTTTAATAACAAATAGCGCAATTCTGAATGAGCAGTGTGTGTCACTAGATTTTTACAGTCTTGCTATGGAACAACACGACAGAGTTCCCAGACATACAAACTGTATAAGAGCAAACTACTAAATAAAATTTATATATTTAATTAAATAACAAAAGATAGCGGTTAATAATATAATTAAATTTTAATTAATTTTCAAATATATCATAAAACAGTGTAATATTTACTTAAGAGTATAAAATGGAAGGAAAATTTCAGACTCTATATTAATAATTTCTACAACCATTTCTTATACCCGACTTTACGAAGGATTTAACTTAATAGTAGCTCATTTCAAGTGGCTTTACTTCGCCAGCAATTTAGTGCTGTATCTTCGGTATAATCTCCCCTACTGGCAATATGTACGTGAAGACGTAGATATTACGAGCAGTTAGAGGTAATATCTTACAGCGAATAAGATAATAACTTTGCTATTTGGAGTAATTTTCTTAAAGGTATATTGCCACTAAATATTAACAGTGAAAAATATTAAAAAATACGCTCTATTTGAAAATTTGTATTATGTCATACTGGATACTGACACGCATTGTCATTATGGTGGTCCTTAATACGGATGTATCCGAATTTCTTTGTTCCCAGGGACTCAAATGCTTCCAAATTCATAAAAAAATTGCCTGAAAATTTTAGCTCTTAATATTAACTTTAAGAGTCCATTTCACTACTCCGAAAAGATAGCAAAATAAGCGTCCGGCATTTAACGATTTATGTAAAACTGGCTAAGTATTTTTACACAAATGAAGAGGAAGCATTAGGAATAAAAGCGAGACGAAAGAGCTGAAAGTTGTGGTGGACTGATAAACTTGAAAAACTTGTAGAGGAAAAAAAGATACTGTATTTGAAATGGCTAAATTCGAAATCTGAACTAGACAAGCGCACTTATAATGACAATAAAAATGAGGTGAGGAGAATGGTATAAAGTGTAGGATGACAAATGCAAAGAAATTAATATGTATATAGGCGGAAGAAGGAATACGGAAGTATGGAGATTTATAAAAACAACAACAACTGAAAAACAGGAGTCAGCCCCTATAGATATAATAACCAACAAAGAATGGGTGAAATATTATTCCAAATTGTTGTCAGAGAACAGACCTGAGTATCAAGAACCGCCACAACCAGAAATAAACATTGAAGGAGAGGAAATCTACGTGGATACCAACAAAATAAAAACCGCCATAATGTCTTTAAAGAATGGAAGAGCATGTGGCCCAGAGTGAGTATATGCGGAACTCATAAAATCTGGAAGCGAAAAACTGTTTAGAATGTTATCAAACATAGTTAACCAGTGCTTAAATGTTCATCCAGTACCTGAACAGTGGAAAAAAGCATATATCTGCTCTATATATAAAAAGGGCTCAAGGAAGGATCCCAATAACTACAGGGGAATTTCGGTCACCAGCACTATGAGTCGCCTCTATGGAAGGATACTGAGGAACTTAATTGAAGAGGAATACTCCAGCTACGAAGAAGAAGAGCATAATGGTTTCAGAGGCGGAAGATCATGTACAGATAATATCTTTGCATTGGAACAGATCATCGAGAAGAAATCTGCAATGAACCAGGAAGTTCATGTAACATTCATCGATCTACAAAAAGCATATGATACAGTGCCAATAATAAAATTGTGGAAGGTATTGCACGAATCAAGAATTAACGCAGCTCTGATAATAGCTGTACAAAATCTTTACCATGGAGGAAAATCACAAATAAAAACGGTCAACGGTCTCACTAAAGGGCTCCGACAGGGTTGCTGTATATCCCCAACACTATTTAAAATTTATATTGCCAAGGCCTTACATCTATGGAAAAGAAAATGTAACGGAATGGGTATAGAACTAAATGACATATGCCTATACACCTTGCAATTTGCAGACCGACCAGGCCATAATTGCAAACGACAAAGATGACATGGAATATATGGTGCGGAAAATAATTGAAGAATATGCTAAATGGGATCTCACAGTAAATACAGAAAAAACAAAATACCTTCCAATTGGAGCTAATACAGGAAATCTTATTTTGGACAATAATATGGAAATTAGGGCATGTGAAGATTACAGGTACCTGGGATCGATATTTACAGGAGATGGAACGGACGATAGAGAAATAAACAACAGAGTAATACATGCACGAAGAGTTATCAGATGCATAAATGGCATTCTATGGAGCATATTACTCTATGGATGTGAAACATGGCGACTCACTGAAAGGAATAAAAGGAAATTAGAGACAACAGAAATGGACGCGATTAGAAGAGCAATGAGAATTTCACGGAGGGATAAGATCAGAAATGAAGACATTAGATAACAGATGGGAATACAGGGAACAATAGTAAATGATATAGAATAAAAACAGTTAATATGGTACGGCCACGTTCAGAGAATGCACAATGAAAGAATTCCAAAACAAGTCATTCATTGGATACCACCTGGTAAACGAAAGAGAGGACGTCCCAAGAAAACATGGATGGAAGGAATAAGAAGGTCGAGGAGCGAGAAAAATCTGACCGAAGATCAATGGGAAAATCGAACAGGGTGGAAGTTAAGCATCGGAAAACGTCGTAGGACATTTTGACCCGAATTTATATATATATAAGAAGGAAATTAAAGATAAAGGATTATACTATATCCGTATTGTAGCACATTTTAGACAACTTCTTTATTTTTAAGATTTTGATGGTCAAAGATCAACATACTATTTCATGTTTGGACTAAATTTTCTCGAAAATAAAAATCTTAAAATCTTTTCTTAAAATTCCGTTACAATACGGAAATAGACTGGAGTTTTGTGATTACAGTGATATATAATTTATATGGTTTTGTATCAAATTGCTCGCTATTTTATGGCAAATGCTAAAGCTCTGCAAACCTTAATCAAGCCTTAATTAAATCACGTCTGTTTGGAATATTGACCATATAAGTATTACCATACAATAGAATTATTTTTATTTCATCCTTCATAGACTTTTAATTATTAAATATTTTATATTTAGAGTCCGTGTGTCCAGATATGTACTTGTCTAGACTCTGGACAGTATAACTTAGATACAGCAATTAGCTATAATAGAACAATTATGTTGCCTCAATAGATCTTCCTGGAACTTTACCGTATTTGACGTTAAACGTACTCTAGCAAAGATCTAGTACTCGTCCAATAGTAAATTTACTTGACAGAATTTCCGACTTAGTTTTAGTATCTATCATTGGTTTGTATTACATTACATTATTCAAGGTTCCATTAATGGTTTTTATTGATTAAATAATTTAATATACCTGTTGTACAAAATCGAAAATCCTAGGTATTACGAAAATATGGAACATTTTTTAAATTATTTATTGGCTTATATTTATTGAAAGTTAGAATTAATTATTTATTTTTAGGAAATGTTAAATGTGCTTGTAGGATTTCACCTTTATTTTATTTCTATACAGGGTGAGTTCCCAGAAACACGAGTATGAAGTTTTTTTTCACAAAAAAATTAAAATTTAAAATATTTAAAGAAAAAATTGGAATTGTTTTTAGTTTTTAGTTAAAACCCATAACCTCTTGGTAATATGGCAACATAGGAGGTAGATTAAATTTACAAGAAAGAAACCCCAGAAAAGATACAGTGGTTCTCAGAATTTAAGCAAAAAATCATTTTTTGGAAATATTCAAAGTAACATAACTCTAACTAAAGGAAAATAACAAACTAAAATAACTATAACTAACTTATTTTGTACTTATTTGAAAAATAGTACAGAGAAATATGTTTTTTTTATTGAGATCTTACCAGCCCTGAAAATATTTGCACTTATTTAAGTTTCACTCCGTATAATTTTAAAAATTGCTTTAAATTTACTACATGTACCCTGTATTTCAAGCATTTTGTGTATTTCAGCTGGGTGAGCTAGCTAGATATAAAAAACTTAAGCAATAAAAATAATTTGTCGCGAAATACGAGTACATAATTTTAATTATTACACTTCGCATTTCTGAAAACAATACTGACGAAAATATGCGAAACAATTAGTTTTACATAAAATTCAACTTTATACTCCAATCGAAACTCGCCAATTTTAATTAAATTAATTTCCTTTCCGGAACTTTGACCGTTTTCAAAATATAATTTATTATTTCGGTAAATACCTATAAAATTTGCGATTTGTTTCATATTTCATTTGGCATCTGTTTTTTATAGCTCTGCCTGGCTTTGAAATTAAATTGGGCCAATTAAATATTAATGTGGTTAATTTTGTATTAAATTGTTAAGGCAAAGAAAAGGTCTGATAGAAATAAGACGTGATTTTAAGTACTTCAATTAATTTTGAATGAGTTTTTTGTGTATTTCTTGCATATTTATACTAAATTTCTTGTTATTTTTTATTAGGATATACAGGGTGGTCCGCACTGTATTCCGGAAACTTCGGCAGCATGTTCTGCCGATAAAAATAAGTAAAAAAATTCGTATAAATGTATGTCCTAAAATGCTTAGTTTCGGAGATACAGGGTGTAGAGGTTTTAGTTTTATTTCGATTTTTCCAAATAATTTCTGAAGTAGCGTCAATATTTAGATGAAAATTGGTGTCTGGGTGTTTTTTGACATAAGAAATTTGATTTTGATGTAATTTCGACTCCTATTTACAGGGGGCCCCACCTGTATGTGTTATGTTTGTGAACTTTTGTCACAAAATCATTTCAAGTTTATGATTGCAGTCTCATAACTACCGTATGATCGAAAAAAACCGGCGTCCAGTTGGCTGGGAAATGACGATCGATGATATTTTCCATATAAATTTACATATAAAATGAGAGCAATCTTCATTTCATAGCCATAGCTAACGCCGTTTTTTTTTCGATCATACGGTATTTAGTCAACCTATGTTTAATTTATATCAACGATGACCGGTATTGATAATTTCCATTCCAAATATTTCGGGAACCATTACATGTAGCGATTTTTACCAAGAGACCTTTTTTACGTAGAAATCATCGTAAATGTATATTTTTCTACTCAGTAGTTTTATACAGGTACGGGCGAAAAGTTATAACTCTCCAAACCAGTTAAAAATATGTAGGTTGTGCCCTCTACAACTAGGAGTCATATTGACATGAAAATCAAATTTCTCATATCAAAAAACTCCCAGACACCAATTTTCATCCAAATATTGGCGTTACTTCAGGAATTATTTGAAAAAAATCGAAATAAAAATGAAAAAGATGTCTATACCTATGTGGTGGATTCATCTCTCCAAAAAAACTCCTTTATGGGTATTTCGCCACTGCACTGCAAGAAAAATCTACAAAATAAAATACTTATTTTTTGTAAACACTTCTGCGTTAAACCTAAACGGACACTGCTTGTCAGAAGTTATGTTTACAGTAATAAAAATTTGCCTAACAAAGAAAAAAATGCTTAACGTTTCGGAAAGTTTATCTGTTTCCGTCGTCGCGTCGGAAGCAAAAAAATACAAAGAAGCTCATGCATCTGTAGATGTTAGTAATGTATAGCAATCGCTTCTTTGATTTTAAAGAACATCACATAAATAAACATAATATACGTAAAAATAACAAATAAATTAAAAATAATCATACAAAAAGTTTGAAGCTTTTTGGTTTTACCTTATAAGTAATTGTTATCAGGGTAAATATTGTTAATTTTGAAGTTTAACTTGATATAATGTCATTTTAACAATGGTTTTTGTAGACGCATATGTTTAAAAAAAAACTAAAGTGTTCTCGAATAGTTGATTAGGTTAGCTTATTTCTTTATTCTTTGTATTTTTTTTTGCTTCCCACGACGGAAAGAGATAAAGCATTTTTTTTGTCCGTTAGGCAAATTTGTTCATTTGTAAGTCACTTGTTAAGCCAGCAGTGTTAACAAAAAATAACTATTTTATTTTGTAGATTTCCTTACACTGGCGAAATACCCATATAGGATTTTTTTTAGAACAAAATATATTAAACGTTAAAATCAAAAAAAATTAAGGTGACCTTTTTTCATTCCAGTCGGTGAGTGTATTACAAACTCTTCAACAACAAATTTTTCTGCCTTCTACAGATCTCTTGTTTCAATATCTTTAAAACGCAACAAAAATGAATCGGAACTGCACAGTATTCAGTTAATTTAAAACGGCCCGATCTAGTACATACGACGCACGATAGTTAAACGGCTCCATAATAAATTAATTCAACAGGGATAATAAATTTCCGGACTTAAATAATTCAGCGAGTAAAGGGACACAATTTACCATAATGGATACAGGCGGGAATTTAGAGCGGGCTCACTGCTTTTTTAAGTGGCGCGATAGAGCACAGAGCAGAGAGAGCGGGGGAGCAATGATTTAGAGTTCTCTGGAAACGCGCCGCTCTGTTATTTTAAAGATGGACGGTCTTAACGAAACCATTTGTTTATATTAAACGCGAAAATTAGAGTTAATAGCATAAAAAATTACCCCTTTATTAAATATTGTAAGGTTAAGAAGCATAATTAGGAAAAGGCAGAAATTAATTTTTGAACTCTTATTTGGTAGAAAGGTACAAGCAAAGAAAGCGATATAGTAAAAATCCGAGTTGGAACAAAATGTCTTTTGAGGCTTTAGGAGTTTGGAAAAGTAAATAATTATGAACGTAAAATAGGATAGATTTTTAGCTTTGTTCGCACAACGAACTATCCAACCGGTTGTCAATTTTTTTCTACCGATCGCTAGTTTCCAACTGATCTCAAACCTGGTTGGTTGATTATACTTAAAAAATACGTAAATAAAATAATAATCAATATATTTCTTGTGATGTCATAAATTTATTCTTGGCTTAAATTTTGTTAAGGCTATGAAATTTAATACACATCAAGGCAACTGAGGGCTTGTAATATACAGGGTTGGCTGAACCGTATTCCGAAAATTTCGGCAGCATATTCTGCAGATAATATAGTAAGTAAAAAAGTTCGTATAAATGTATGTCCTAAAATGCTTAGTTTTGGAGATACGGGGTGTAGAAGTTTCATTTTTATTTCGATTTTTTCCAAATAGTTTCTGAAGTAACGTCAATATTTGGATGAAAATTGGTGTCTGGAAATCTGATGTTAATATGTCCCCTATTATATTTTTTTGAAGTGTCTACCAACCTTTTTTTTTAGAGCATAACGTGAAAAAAAATAGTCGATTTTTTTGACCTACCCTACTGTATATACAGGGTGGAAACTTCGGTAGCATATTCTGCAGGTAAAAATAAGTAAAAATGTTTTTATAAATGTATGTCCTAAAATGCTTAGTTTCGAAGATACAGGGTGTAGAAGTTTCATTTTTATTTCGATTTTTTTCAAATAATTTATGAAGTAACGTCAATATTTCAATAAAAGTTGGCGTCTGGGAGTTTTTTGACATGAGAAATTTGATTTTGATGTAAATATGACTCCTACTTGTACCAAAAGTTCAACAGAAACTTATCATCTTTTTTTTTACAATTCGGACCACCCTGTATACATAGCAGAGAAAAGTATATTCTGAAAATTCTTTACTTTTTGACTACATCTCTTGAACTATCTAGGAAACCTTAAAAAAATAAGCATGTCCAGAATGACCAGAAACATTCCAATGAAATTAAAAATTTTAAAATAAGAAATGCATCTCATATATTAGTCGGTTATGCACAAATTAAAAAGTTTTCTTTGCCTCCAAGAGAATATAAAATAATATCCTAAGAAATATCACATTACAAATTTTAACGAGGCCATTTATCTCTATAAAGGAAAACAAATTGCTTCTAAATATAGCGATATAGAGAACTGGAAATAGACTATGACGATATTAAAGAGGCATCATCTATCGACGGTATAGATTTTCAAAGGATTTTTTGTTTGCTTCAAATTTGAGAAAAAATCAATAAAGTTTTTTATTATTTATTTGGTTTTATTACATTATGAAAATTCAATTTTTCAAACTTAACATGCAAATGTGTGAATGAATTTACTAAGATTCACTAAAATGAATGGTCTTGGCCAACACTAGTACAGTGGATTTATGAGTCAGTAATTTACAATTTCATTTTATTCAGACAGTCAGAAAACAAAATTAATAGATGTCGTTAAAAGAGTGGCAAGTCTGAAGTGGCAATGGATAGGACATGTGGCAAGACAGGATCCAGACCGATGGCCCCAAAAAGCAATCCTATGGAGACCTAGGGGAACAACAAGAAGTGTAGGCCGACCAAAAAAGAGATGGGTCGATGACGTCAGGGCAGTGGCGGGAAGACAATGGATAAGATTGGCTAGAGATCGCGAAGCATGGAAAAATCTAGAAGAGGCCTATATCCAACACTGGATGGAACCAGGCTGAGAAAGAAGAAGAAGAAGAAAGAAGATCTCCATGTCACGTTGTCCTGAGGAAGGAATGAATAAATTCCGAAAGCTTGAAAATTAACAAAGTATATTAATTCTATTTCAAACCCTTCCGACTGCAATCCCACTAGTTCCTAGATTTTCTTTCTATATAAATATAACTAGATAATATACTTTCAAGGAAGCGTTATGAGATAAGAAGGCCCCAAGCATTCGTGCTGGTCCGATTACGTGGCAGGGGCCTCTAAAAAATAAATGCACCCTTGCCTTTCATACGTTGCATTATTGCGTCAAAACATTGACGTATCCCGTCCTGAATTATTTACCTTAACGTTGAAGCAATCGATTTGTTTTTAATATTTAACGGTAAAAATCTATTTTAAGCGATAAATTGATTTAGAAATTACAACAGCCTCCATTTAAGGTCACTAATAATAATAAAGTACAATTGGCATTACGGAAACATTTCAAGGGTGCTTTCCCGTAATTATTATGTATATCTACGAAGTTTTGCGATACATATTTAATTATGTGGCTTCTGTTTATGATCGGCAACATTTCTAGTTAAAATTATAATGAATTTTCTTCGATTTTATTTATTTTTTTTAGAAAAATTGTATATAACCACTAATTTAGAGGTTTTGAATAAAGTTAATAATTTTATTTTTTCCATAGCAACTGTTAAATTTGTCTTATATCTATCAAAAATAGTAGATAAAATAATACTTTAACCGCAAGGGTAGATTAAATGATACTTTAACAGCGAGGATAGGTTAAAAACTTTATTTCTTCTCGCTCGTTTTTTAATTGCTTCCATTTTTGATTTTTTTTATTCCTTTTCATAAGTTATTCGGGATTTAAAGGGAAGTAGTTTGGATATGGCGTTTGTCGCCTCAGCCTAAATATCTGTTGGTAATTTACTTATTTCGTTTTGAGCCATTTCTGGCTACAATTCAATCAGTAATCGACACGAAAGAGAATTAAAAAACATTGACTCAAAACTGACAACTAAAGAGACAGCTTTATTTATTTGTCAAATTAGATAGAAACCAACGCCAACCCAGCACAATATTTTTTCTACTAGTAATAAATTCCTTGGAATAATAATTTCTGAATATTTTTTAAAACGTAACTCGCTTTGGAAAAAAATATTGTTTTATACATCGTCTCCCGAAATTAATTCACTCGTTCGTGAATTAATCTTTTCGGTCGACGATAAAATACCATTTTATCATCTTGTATGAAAAATAACTATTAATCTTATTTTTTTAAAACCAGTACATTTTAACCTTATCTTCTTACATAACTAAAAGCTGTTATTATTTACCCTTTCGTGTGATGTCTTAATTTTACAGCCACTTCAGTTTTTAGTACAACATACGATATGGTATACAAATTTTCTTGGTTTGGTTTGGTTTGGCTGATACAACGCTTTGGGTCTACACTTTTTGAAGTGGAATTTGTTTACGCGCGTTGGGAGTAAAAATTCAAGGCCGTGACTGCCGTGAGACAGGAGCTAGCGAAAGGAAAAGTGGTAACGGCAATGTTGCCACAGCTACTCCAATCGGGGTAGATCTACCCCGATAAAAAATAAGCTTGTGGCAACACTGGGTAACGATGTGTGCCATACATATAGGCTAAGAAAATCACTATAATAAACTTGATACTGTACCAACCTTGATTTCATGCATATTTTCATCGATAAGTTTGTAGCTTCTATATAACGGTCTAGGTAAAGCATCTAGCTGATTTACCAGCTCAGAATTCGAATTTAGAGTTAGTAACTCGCATTTTCATTGGAGGACATTCTCATATTTATTTGAAACCAATCATCAACGAGAATATTCATATAATTTAATAAAATTACTGTAAATCACTGTAAATAATGATTTGTTTGTAATTGAGCTGTAATTTCTGTATTATTAATCCGGTAATTGATGGAGATAAACAATTGTGATTAATTAAAATTTTATTTTAAGATGAAACTTTTGTTAACAATATTCTGAGAATTCGAATAATAAATTGAATAATGACAAGACAAGTGACATCTGTCTAAAAAAGACACAATTTTGATTATGCAAAAGAAATAAATATTATAAGAGTTTACTGGTTGCCTAACGATTAACATCAATTTAAAAATAAATCCCCAACATGAATAATGAACAAAAACATCCTACTGACACCAGATGATATCCTTGTTAGTTTTGATGTCGTATCACTATTATAACCTACCGACAAGACCTAAGCTTGGGATACAAGGTGTATCGGAAAAACACCCATACCGATCGCTACCTGCACAATAATTCGAATCACCATCCCGGTCAAAAAAGAGGGGTCATAAAAACACTTGTTGACAGAGCCCGCCGTATCTGTGAACCTCTACACATCACTGAGGAATTACAATACCTAGACAGAGCCTTACAAGCCAATGGATACCGAGAGCAGACGATCAGACGAGCCGTAAGACCTAGGAAACCTGTTGAAAGGCAAGAGGGAGAAAATACACCTCCCAGTGGGATGGCATTTCTTCCATACATCAGAGGGGTCACTGACCGCATTGGAAAATTATTAAGAAAGAGGAACATAAAACCGATCCTCCAACCCACTCGAAAGATACAAGAACATCTCCGCTCGGCTAAAGACCCACGAGATCCACTCTCCTCCGCTGGGGTCTATAGAATTCCGTGTTCTTGTGGCTCAGTATATGTTGGTACTACGAAACGTAGTATTAATACACGTTTGACTGAGCACAAAAGATCTTGCCGTCTCGGACAAACAGAGAAATCAGCCCTGGCCGAACACACAATAACACAGGTGGATCATCAAATTTCAAGTTCAATAATACGGAAGTCCTTTCAACAGGGAATCACTACTTTGCAAGACTACATCGTGAAACGACTGAAATCCACAAACATCAAAACAATCTTCAACAGAAAAGAAGAAGGGCTTCACGTTAACAAAATATGGTACAAGCTGCTCGATAATACAGAAATAAACGTCTCTTCAACAAAATATGGCAAGCTGCCTGGATAATACAGAAATGAGTCCTCACCAGCGATCACAAGCAAACCACGCGCCCTACACACCGCCTGGGCCAAGATGCTATAAAAGGCGCGCAGCCCCTCCCCTCTGTATCAGTCCCATCCCCAAATACCTTCGAGATCGTGCCTTGAAGTTCTACGAGAAAATCGGTACTATCCCCAATAGTACCCTAAAAATCTTCGATTACAATCCCGAGGACTATAGAAACTTCAAATACTCCCATCTTAAAACCATTCTTCTAGACAATTAATTTTGTCCCCCCCCCTTCTCATAATATAGTCCTCCCATTACCCACACCCCCCCTTTTTCTTCCCCACATATTAGCAGGAATAATAGCTGACCATTCTTCGGCAGCTAGATTCCTCCGGGGGTGGACTTTTTTAGTGGGTATCAACACGAGTCCCACACACTGTCTAGGGGTTATTCCTATGACCATCTCTCCCGAGATGGTCATGGAAATGATCACTATTTGTCTATAAAAGATTTTTCAACCACCCCCTCACCAAAAAAAAAAACCCTCCGTATCAGTACCAGTCCAGTCGTCGAGTCGTTCACTTCGCCCTCGACTTCTACGCAACTGATGAAGACTGCCGCAGATGCAGTCAAAAGCTATGGAGCCAACCACTCTTGAACACGGCCTAACAGCCCGCAAAACCGTTATTAGTCAATGAACAAAACATTAAAAAAACCACAGACTACACAAAACAAATTCTTGGTTAGTAGCAGTTAGTAGTAGTCAGAGATATAGATGTAGTAGTATTTTGGTTTAATGGCCACAGCTATCCGACCGGGTAATAGAATTATCGTTTTTTAATAAAAATTAAAAAAACATTATATAATTATAAAGCTAGAATAGTATACGGTTTTATATTAACTCTATTTTTTTGAAATTTATAAAAAGTATTCATAAAAAATATATATCATTCAAGTTAATAGCTGTTAGTAAGAAATTTCACTTTAAATATGCGAACGTATTGCACAAACAATTTTTTTTTCTGTCGAAATCTTCTCTGAGACGTAAAACAGACTATAGCCTGAATGATATCACCCATACATACATCCAAAAACAATGTAAGCGATATAGACTACCACTTGATGGTCTAAATAACCAATAACATGTCATTCTAATTCCGAATCTGCCCACACTGGCCCACGAATTTACATTAATTCCCGTTCGACAACGTTGAACGAGTCAATTTCAATTGCCGGCTCGTGTGTATTATGCATCCGACAAATCCCTCTACTTATCAGGTTAGCGGTGGGAAGCAGGGTTGGGCTCAGGGCAGAAGCCTTTGCAGTCCCCGTAACCAAATGAACACGGCCGACGTGAACGCGTGTCTATTATCCTCGGTCAGACGGTCTCTGCGGACAGTCAGCTGTCCGGTAAACGACTTCGCATCTGACAAACAGGGCGATTAAGCGGATTTTAGATGCAACTAATCGTGGTCGAATCGAAGTAAATATAATTTGAATGGGTTAGGAGTTTAAACGATCACTTGCGTCCTGTTACATTGAATGATTAACTTTGAATTAACTGTTAGAATTGTCTCTGAAGTTAAAAATATACACCCATATTAATATGTTTAAAAATCAGCTACGAGTTTGATGGGTTTCATGGAATTTGTAGCTAAAATATTTGACTTCATATCAAAAATTCTTATGTGACTATTATACGAGTAAAAATATTATACTCCTGCTGGCAAGGTTTATGTTCTTGTCGGGATTTCCGTATGTAAAAAGAGTACAATGTATTTATAACGTACTGAAGAAAGAGAGAATAGTAAAAACGTTGCCAAACATATAAAATAAACCGAGGAACTGTGCAAATTGGTAAGAGACGTGGAAGAGGATATAGCAGATTCGTCGACCCAATCAGTACTTAAAATTCTAGGGAAGGGTGTACAGGGTGGTCGAAATTGGTCTGTTTTAACAGAGAAAACCTATTTCCTGACTAGATAGTGCAAAACCGACATAGATGTCATGGGCTCGATTTCTGAGAAACGTTTAATGGCGTAAACCGCCTGTTGATATTTTCACTGCCAACTGAGAAACGGGGTCTTTTTGAATTTTTTACCATTTTAAAGAGACGTGGAAGAGGATATAGCAGATCTCGTCGCGGTCGACCCAATCAGTACTTAAAATCTCTAGGGAAGGGTACAGTGGTCGAAATTGCCTGTTTTAACAGGTCCTTATTTCCGATTAGATAGATACGCGGGCTTTCGATTTTCGAGAACGTTTAATGCCGTAAACCGCCTGTTGATGTTGCCAATAACTTTTTATTTTGCCGAATAATAAAATTCTGTAAAAACGTTATTAAGGCACTTTTTAGGCTACAATCCAGTGGTATAGTCAGTTTTTCTATGCTTGCTCTTTTGTCAGAAATAATAAAAAATATAATTTTTTAAATGGAAATCATAGTTGGCTATGAACTTAAAAAATGCTGGCGTTTTACCCTTTTCTAATGATCTAAAGTTATGGACATCTATTTCTAAGAATGAGAGAAATATTAGGTTTTTTGATCTTTATATCGAAGCGGGCCTTGTTTTTGTGTTGACCTATTTGTCTAATTATTTTTTATCACAATTTAATATTCTATATTATTATTTATCTGCATAACTAAAGACTTTTGAAAAGGTAAATTAACATTCTTAATAATTAATAATAGGTCAAACTTACCAATAAATAATTAGGTCAAACTAAAGGTCAACACAAAATCAAGGCCCGCTTCGATACAAAGATAAAAAACGTAATATTTCTCTCATTTTTAGAAATAAATACACATAACTTTATATTGTTGGAAAGGGTCAAACGCCAGCATTTTTTTAAGTTCATAGCCAACTATGATTTCCATTTAAAAAATTATATTTCTTATTATTTCTGACTAAAAAAGCAAGTATAGAAAAAAACTGACTACGCCACTGGATTGTGCTTAAAATAGTGCCTTAAGAACGTTTTTACAGAATTTTATTATTCCGGAAAATACAAAAGTTATGGGCAATTTTCCAAATGGTAGAAAATTCAAAAAGACTCCGTATCTCGGTTGGCAGTGAAAATATGAACAGGAGGCCATTAAACGTTTCTCAGAAATCGAGCCCATGACATCTATGTCGGTTTTGCTCTATCTAGTCAGGAAATAGGGTTTCTCTGTTAAAACAGACCAATTTCGACCATCCTGTACATTGTACATCATGCGTTCAGCTTCACGATTTAAGTGCAAGTTAGAAGCACTTGCACTTTTGGTAAAAATAGTGGAATTTAGTTGGTGTTCGACAGTGGTCGCGCTATTAGAACTCTGAATTTAAAAATCGATATCTCGAAATCCATTAGAAAGAATTGATTGTAGTTTTTTTTTCAAAAACTTTCTTAATATTTCTGCTATATTTTCTTCGCAGACAGTATATGAAAATTTTTGTAAATAAAATACACGATTGCTGAACATTGCTATGCACTAAAAGCAAATGCATGGTTTTTTTTAAATTTTTGAATGGAAAAAACAAGCCTATCGAAATTTTCTTATTTAAACATCTTGTAAAAGATCCGAACTTAAAAAAAAAGTTTCAATATCTAAAGTAGTTCTTGAGTTATCGCCTGTTATGTGTTAAAAAGTTGAGTTGAAAAGTTGATTTTCGCGATTACTGACGTTTTTTTTATTATAAAAGGAATGGTCATCCTAACGATATTCTATAACTCGATTTCAGATGTCCAGAAACATATTTAATTATTTCATGTAGTTATTTTTCCGGAAAAAAATTAATTTAAAATAAACGCCCACTTTTACTACAGCGTAATTTTACTACACTAGACAAGAAATGGCGTACTTGTATCACTGAGAATGTGACAACGCTGCAACAGCACAACATCGCATTTTTCCCACTCCAACTTAATAAGATCCCTAAGC